TGTACAAATAAGTTCAAAGTGTCTTGTGTTTGAACTTATTTGTACATTCGAAAAATTCAACGATTATTTAAAGCCTCAATGTTCTTTTTCGATAAAAAAAAATTGAAATCCAATATTAAGCGAATGAAATGTTCGATTTGATCCAAACTGACCATCGTCGTATTTTTACCAACACTAAATCAAGTTCGAAGATGAGACCCATCGGCCCACTCCATTTGGTACCTCCCACACAAAATGGTAAAATTTTTGCTGAAAATTAATTTTGTAATATCATGTGATCGGACTATCAGGCAGTATTTTATTTGTCCTTATACCCTTCACCAAACTGTGGAACAGTGTATTATGTATTTGTGCATATGACGAACCCTATTGAAATTTGGAAAAATCAGTTCAGATTTAGATATAGCTCGCTGTATATATTTTCGTCTAATTTAATGTAAATGGTGCACCAAAGTCTCTATATATCTTTCGATTTGCACGAAATTTGGTATGGCGCACTGAATTGAGCCTAGAATTACATATGTTAAGTTTCGTGCAAATCGGTTCAGATTTAGATATAGCTCCCATAAATATTTTCGTCCGATTTTATGTAAATGGTGCACCAAAGTCCCTATATATCATTCGATTTGCAGGAAATTTTGCAAAGCGTACTGAATTTAGTCTAGAATGTTTGTTAAATTTCATGAAAATCGGTTCAGATATAGATATAGCTCTCATATATATTTTCATCCGTTTTTATGTAAATAGTGCACCAAATTCCCTAAATATCTTTCGATTTACACAGCCAGTGGAAGACAGTTCTGAAGAAAATTCCATAAGAAAAGGATAAAAGTTGGAATGGATAAACTATATGATACCCCACACAACATCGGGTATATACAAATTTCATATGTAGGTTGAAGTTTCGATTAGTCCCCTTATTAAGGTCTCCCCCTTTTGCAATATTTTGCATGATTTATTCTCCCACCAAAGTAGCTGAAAATTGGCATTCCAAATTCTTGGACAGTGAAAAATTGTTTGCAGAAAATATTCAATATCGGTCCATGTTTGGACATAGCTTTCATATAAATGTCCCACCTAATTTTCTGTACACGGGTTAAAAAATGTGGCTAAGACCCTTAAACTAACAAAACTGAGGAAACTTTTTTATATGGGTGCAATGTCACAAAAATGTTCACCCTCAAAAAACCTTGTATACCCAAGGATTGTACTTTGGAGGGTGATAAATATCTTTTCAGAAAAAAATGATTTTCCTTTTATCTTTATGTTCAGGGTAGGTCAATATTTATACCCTCATCATAATAGCTACGACAAACAAGAACCTCATCGAGATATTGGTTTTAGACCCCATGTTTCTTTGAGACAAATTCGTTTCAGACAAATATCTGTCCATCCGTTTGGCTGGTGTGCACTCTTTCGGCGGAAATAACCGATTTCAACCAAACTTTGCACATCGTAATATTTATTCTAAACCTTAATCAAGCCCACACAAATTGGTCACCATTTTGCTAAAAAAGAATTTTGTAATAACATGAGAGCGGACTATCGATTTGAACAAAATGTTGCTTAACCTAATATTATCGGTCCTTTTATTGTAGTACCTGTCCGGCAATGGGTCAAAATTTTCAAATGTTATAATCTGAAATCGGAACTTCTGATTTAACCAAAACTTTGGACATCGTAATAATTTTTAAATCGTAGATCAGGTCTGAAAATGGATGGTATCCAACGGCAGACTCCTTCAGGTACCTGCCCCACTTATGGTCCGAATATCGCGCAATTATGGTCCGAATATCGCGAAATTTTACATGGAGAAGGGGATAGGGCCAAAGAATAAGTATGTCCGATTTGATAAGGATCGGTCAATTTTTAGCGGATCAAATGGACACTGACTTTTGTGTGAAAAATTACAAAATTTGTATACTATGGCGTATATATTTACCCCTGAAGGACATAGACCCGAGAAGTTGATAGTATATCCAAGAGGATTGGTTGACCTTTAACCCCTTGACGTATTTCCACGAGTCTGACTCCTGGTACAATTTTTGTGCCAAACATGAAAAATTAAATTGGGCATTTCAATTTTTTAATTTTTATTATTTTTTCGATTCTAATAATAATAACATATAACAACATCAACAATAAATAGTTTGATTACACGCATTCACATTTCTTTCGTTTTGTAAACATCGAAACTGGTTTGTTTTGTGCAAATTGTGTGTGAACAGTTGGACACGAATTCCTTTGCGCTAACTGATACGTCAAGGGGTTAAATTGACACCAATTATATTATTGTATGTACTCGGATGTGGGAGTTACACTTAAATATTTACAGGTGCTCGTGTACTCAGATATTATTTAGTAACCCATTACCACACTAGAGGGAGAAAATATAGCGCCGATAAATTTTCCATGAGGATCCAGTTATGGTCAAGGACAACGCATATAACTTTCAGTGATTATCAGATTATAATTATGGGATGAAGTGGACCGAATACTTAATTTTTTGTGTTTTTATACCCTTCACCACACTGTGGTACATGGTATTTTGTCTTTGTGCATATGTTTGTAACAGGCAAAAGGAATCGAGATAGACCCATGGTTCCTTTTGAGAATATGCATAGAATCACTTTCTACGTCGATTTACGTATGTCCGTCCATCTGTTCATGTTAAATTGTAAACAATGTACAGGCCGCATTTATTATTCGTATTGAATGAAAGTTGGCACAGCTCATTCATTTGGCCCAAGGACGAACCCTATTGAAATTAAGAAAAATCGGTTCAGATTTAGATATAGCTCCCATATATATCTTCGTCCGATTTAAGGTAAATGGTGCACCAAAGTCCCTAAATAGCTTTAGATTTGCACGAAATTTGGCACAGCGTAATGAATAAGGTATAGAAAGATGTGTGTTAAGTTTTGTGAAAATCGGTTCAGATTTAGATATAGTTCCCATATATAGTTTCGCCCGATTTTAGGTAAAGAGTCCACTAAAGTCCTTGGAAATCTTTTGATTTGCACGAAATTCGGCCTAGCGTACTAATTAAGTCTAGAATGATGTGTGTACAGTTTCGTGAAAATCAATTCAGATTTAGATATAGCTCCCATATATATTTTCATCCGATTTAAGGTAATTGGTGCACCAAAGACCCTATATATCTTTCGATTTGCACGAAATTTGGCATAGCGTACTGAATTGCGTCTTTAATAATGTGTTCTAAGTTTCATGAACATCGGTTCAGATTTAGGTATAGCTCCCATATATATTTTCATCCGATTTAAGGTAATTGGTGCACCGAAGTCCCTATATATCTTTCGATTTGCACGAAATTTGGCACAGCGTAATGAATAAGGTCTAGAATGATGTGTGTTAAGTTTCGTAAAAATCGGTGCAGATATAGATATAGCTCCCATATATATCTTCGTTCGATTTATGGTAAATGGTCTACTAAAGTCCCTATATATCTTTCGATTTGCACGAAATTTGGCATAGCGTACTGAATTAAGCCCATAATGATGTGTTCAAAGTTTCGTGAAAATCGGTACAGATTTAGATAAAGTTCCCATATATAGTTTCGTCCGATTTTATGTAAATGGTACACCAAAGTCCCTATATATCCTTCGATTTGCACGAAATGTGGATTTATAAGTAAATGGAGAACTCAAAATGTAGCCCAAAACATACTGAAATAAGTGTAACCTAACATGTGACAAGTTTCGATGAAATCGGTTTAGATTTCGATATTTTGCTTTAAATTTATTTACATAATTTTGTCCCATTGTAAGAAGCAACTCTACATCTGATTACAATTTTGTATAGGTTGCAGAATTGCATGTTTAATTTCATTCGATATGTTGAATATACCCAAAGTGGTGAAGGGTATCATATAGTCGGCCCCGTCCGACTTAACTACTTTCCTTACTGTCTTTTTTGTATTATTCAATCTAAAATCAGTTTTCTGTTTTTCAATACTCCAATGCCTATTTAATTTCCGGTCCATAACAAAACCTATGTAAAGAACATATTGATGCAGTATGCAAACAAACCTTACCAAACAACAATAACAACAACAAAGACACATCACTCAATTTAATTAATTAATAATAAATTTTATTCGTTTTTGGATTCGACCATAAAAACCCATTACAACTACATGGACATAATTTAAAAATTAGTAAACAACAAAATAAATTTGTTTTTGTTTTTTTTCTGTTCTGTTTCGTTTTGCTTTTTTTTTACATTGTTTCGACTGACTACAAACTAAGTAAAACAATAATAATAATAATAAAAAAAATACTAATAAAATTAAAATTTCGCATTGCAACATAAAAATAAAATAATAATAAAAATAAAATTACAAAACAAAGGGAAAAAGGGAAAGAAAAGAAACGAAAAAAAAATACAAATAAAAATTATAAAGAATACTCACAAATAATAAAAAACAATAAAGGCGAAATTTTCGTTTTAATAATAAAAAATAAAAAAAGAACATATAAACTAAAATAGCAACGTAATGGGAAAAAATAGAAACGAAGGAAGGCAGGAAGGAAGTAACAGAAGTAAGTAAATAACAAAGCAGAAAATATGGGTGTAACAAAAGGAGCACAAGAAGTCGTAATAAATTTCCATATAAATAAGAAAAAAATATACAAAAAAATTACTTGAAGATGTGGAGTGCGGGGTGGTGGTGGGAGGTGGCAAAATGAGTAAATACATGTATATAAAATAATAATGAAACTAGGAAGGAAGAAAGGAAAAACATACACACTTACAAACTAAGTTTAATATTATTACACACTACAAGTAGAGGGTATAGATAGATGGATGGTTGGTTGGTTGGTGGTGGGGGTTCGACGGCTTCTATTGTGCAATATGGAATCCTTATTCTGCAACCAAATCACACGCACCCAACACCATCACCAACGCACCCATACAGCAAAGTATAGCCGGAAATCATCGCATTTACATTTCCGGCTGGTTGTTTTGATGTTGGCGTTTTGTTCTGTTTATTTGTCTGTTTCCTTCTTTTATTTTTAGAAAAAGACAAATTTGAATAATTGATAGAGAATGAAAAATGTCAGCGAATAAATCACAAACAATGTGGTATAATGGAGAATTTTCAAACTGTAAAGAGAGCAAAGAAGAATGCAAAAAAATATATTAGAAAATTTAAAAAATAATGGCAAATGAAATATTTGAAAAATTTCTTCAAATTATGAAAAACAATGAACCATAATGTCAAGATGTTCGCAACATTTTGGAGAAAATTAATATAGGGAAATATTAATGTCAATTTTATTTAAAATAGTTTTGGATTTATTAAAAAATATTTTTTCAAGAATCAACAAGGTGTGGATTTATTGAAAAATATTTTTTCAAGAATCAACAAGGTGTGGATTTATTGAAAAATATTTTTTCAAGAATCAACAAGGTGTGGATTTATTGAAAAATATTTTTTCATGAATCAATAAGGCGTGGATTTATTGAAAAATATTTTTTAAAAGAATCAACAAGGCGTGGATTTATTAAAAAATATTTTTTAAAAGAATCAACAAGGTATGGATTTATTGAAAAATATTTTTTTCAAAAATTCACAAGGTGTGGATTTATTAAAAAATATTTTGTATAAGAATCAACAAGGCGTGGATTTATTAAAAAATATTTTTTTAAGAATCAACAAGGCGTGGATTTATTAAAAAATATTTTTTAAGGAATCCATCTTCTGAGGCGTGGATTTATTAAAAAATATTTTTTTAGGGGTCCATCTTCTGAGGCGTGGATTTATTAAAAAATATTTTTTAAAAGAATCAACAAGGTGTGGATTTATTGAAAAATATTTTTTAAAAGAATCAACAAGGTGTGGATTTATTGAAAAATATTTTTTCAAGAATCTACAAACGTGGATTTATTGAAAAACAATTTTTTCAAGAATCCACAAGGTGTGGATTTATTGAAAAGCAATTTTTTCAAGAATCCACAAGGTTTGAATTTATTGAAAAACGATTTTTTCAAGAATCAACAAGGCGTGGATTTATTAAAAAATATTTTTTCAAGAATCAACAAGGCGTGGATTTATTAAAAAATATTTTTTCAACAATCAACAAGGCGTGGATTTATTAAAAAATATTTTTTCAAGAATCAACAAGGCGTGGATTTATTAAAAAATATTTTTTCAAGAATCAACAAGGCGTGGATTTATTAAAAAATATTTTTTCAACAATCAACAAGGCGTGGATTTATTGAAATATATTTTTTTTCGGAATAAATCGATTTTTTTAAATAAAAATATTTTTAAGGATTCTGACACCAATCGCCATTGAAGTTTAATTAAAACCAGTAAGGAAAGTAGTAAATTCGGGCGGGGGCGACTATATGATACCATTCACCACTTTGGATATATTCAACAGATGAATCCTAACAGATGTCGCATTTTTGAAGGACCAGTAAATTGAAATTGGATCTATAAACATGTCATTCTACAACCTATACTAAATTTTTCATTTGGTCAGATATAGAGTTGCTTCTAACAGTGGTACAAAATTATGTAAATCGATTTAAAGCAAATAGCAATCGGACACCCGTTGATTATTTGGATAAATACCTAAATATATACTAAAATATACTGAAAATCGAACGAAAATATATATGAGAGCTATATCTTAATCTGGACCTATTTCCAGGAAACTTACCACACATCATTCTAGACATAATTCATTACACTGTGCCCAATTTCGTGCAAATCGAAAGATATTGTGCACCATTTACCTTTGTTGCACCATTTACCTTAAATCGGGCGAAAATATATATGGGAGCTATACCTAAATCTGGACCGATTTTCAGGAAACTTAACACACATCATTGTAGACCTAATTCATTACGCTATGCCAAATTTCGTGCAAATCGAAATATATATAGGGTCTTTGGTACACCATTTACCTTAAATCGGGCGAAACTATATATGGGTGCTATATCTAAGTCTGAACCAATTTTCAGGAAACTTAACACAAATCATTCTTGACATAATTCATTACACAGTGCCACATTTCGTGCAAATCCAAAGATATTAGAAACTTTGGTACACCATTTACATTAAATCGGACGAAAGTATATATGGGAGCTATATTTAAATCCAAACCGATTTTCCGGAAACTTAACACACATCATTTTAGACTTAATTCATTACCCCAGGCAAAATTTCGTGCAAATCGAAAGATATATAGGAACGTTGGTACACCATTTACATTAAATCGGACGAAAATATATATGGGAGCTATATCTAAATCTGAACCGATTTTCATGAAAATCAACACACATTATTCTAGACTTGGTTCAGTACGCTATGCCAAATTTCATGCAAATCGAAAGATATATAGGGTTTTTGGTACACCATTTACCTTAAATCGGACGAAAATATATATGGGAGCCATATCTAAATCTGAACCAATTTTCGCGCAACTTAACACACATCATTCTAGACCGAGTTCATTACACTGTGCCAAATTTCGTGCAAATCGAAAGATATATAGGGACTTTTGTTCACCATTAATATTAAATCGGTCGAAAATATATATGGGAGCTATATCTAAATCTAAACCGATTTTCACGCAACTTAACACACATCATTCTAGACTTGGTTCAGTACGCAATGTCAAAGTTCGTGCAAATCGAAAGATATCTAGGGACTTTGGTATAACATTTACCTTAAATCGGGCGAAAATATATATGGGAGCTATATCTAAATCTGAACCGATTTTCACGAAACTTAGCACACATCATTCTAGACCTAATTCAGTACTCTATGCCAAATTCCATGCAAATCGAAACATATATAGGGACTTTTGTGCACCATGTATATTAAATCGGACGAAAATATATATAGGAGCTTTATCTAAATCTGAACCGATTTTCAAGAAATTATGCATACAACATTCTAGTCTCAATTCAGTACGCTATGCCAAATTTCGTGCAAATCAGAAGATATATAGGGACTTTGGCATACCATTTACCAAAAGTCGGGCGAAGCTATATATGGGAGCTACATCTAAATCTGAACCCATTTCAGTGAAACTTTCCACACAGCAGCTTATACTCACGTTAGGACGTTGTGCAAAATTTTGTGGTAATCGGTCATATTTTGGGGCATTGGTGCACCATTTACTAAAAATCGGACGAAACTATATATATCGGAGCTATATCTAAATCTGAACCGAATTTTCCCAATTTAAATAGGTTTCGTCCTTGGGCCAAATAAGTGGCCTACGCCAAATTTCATCCAATTTGGATCATAAATGCGACCTGTATCTTGTTTACAATTTAACATGGATAGACAGACAGACGGACGGACGGGCAAGCATAAATCGACTCAGAATGTGATTCTATGCATATTCTCAAAAGGAACCATGTGTCTATCTCGTTTCCTTTTGACTGTTATAAACATATGCACAAAGACATAATACCCTGTACTACAGTGTGGTGAAGGGTACAAATATTCTCAAGGTTCAATGAGAGTGAATTTTTAAAATAAAAATATTCTCAAAACCCGGTGGGCTTGGATTTTTAAAATAAAAACAAGTTTCCTTTTAACTATTTATTGCTTTCAAATTGAAGTTTTAAATTTCAAAACCAAACATTTTGAACTTTAACTGGGTTAAACCTCATTCTTTCAAAATTCTCTATTATTGACATTACAATTTTCCAAAATAACGAAAGCGAACATCATTGCCATCATCGTAATCAACATCGTCATGATTATGTATCCCCCCCTTAACACTTCGTTTCTACGATTTTCATTCACTGTTTTCCTCTCATATTTTGTGTGTTTTGTTTTTAATACATACCGTTCATGTCGCTTCACTGATTCGGCCACAGTACTGGGTTCATCCTTTACCACATAGGAACGCAGGCCCCACAAGCTAATGCGAAACAGTTCAGTCCAATCGACAGACCGCATATCGAAGGCAAACAAACGTTTATCCTTCGCATCCAATTTGTCCCAGAGTGCTCGCACATTGTTATTTTCAAATATGAATTCGTTCGACGAGAAATATTCCATCACAGCGCAAAATTTGTGGATTTTGCGATACATTTTCATCATTCTGAAAAAATGGAGGATAGGGGGTGAATGGAAAAAAAATTTACAGATATGATGATGATAAAAACAAGTTAGCATGAGATGACACCAGCCAGCGCATAACCCAATAACACACCAAAAAAACTACAACCACAACAGCAGCAGCATAGAGCAAATGCTGGGCAAAAAATTCGGGTTTTTAGGGGAAAACAGCTAAACAAAGCACAATCAGCCGCGAAAAGCCAAATATTTGATCAGAAAAGCAAAAATATGGGAGGACAAAAAAAGGAACGAAAGTAACGAACATATGCAAAAGCTAAAGGCCCAAAAATACATGTACAGCCGCTCGCTTGCTAAACACGCACACACTCACAACCACATTCACAGAGATATTCATACACAAAAATGTATCGAACTTCCATACTGTGCCCCCTCCGCCACTCGCCATTCAATAATTTGAAATTCATGATAACTATTGGAGGTTTAGTATAAGCGTAACGAAACAATGAAGAGAGGGCGGTGTGGTAGAGAGTGACATGGACACAATTTTGGATGGTGCTCAACGACTAGATGGGGAGCTTTTTAATAACTTCTATAAACAATTTTAAATTCTGCCTGGAATGATATCTTCAATAGAAAATTTTTAATTCAGCCTGGCTGAATGATAATTTCAATAGGAAATTTTCAATTCAGCCTGGCTGAATTACAATTTCTATAGGAAATTTTCAGTTCAGCCTGGCTGAATTACAATTTCTATAGGAAATTTTCAATTCAGCCTGGCTGAATTACAATTTCTATAGGAAATTTTCAATTCAGCCTGGCTGAATTACAATTTCTATAGGAAATTTTCAATTCAGCCTGGCTGAATTACAATTTCTATAGGAAATTTTCAATTCAGCCTGGCTGAATTACAATTTCTATAGGAAATTTTCAGTTCAAATTTTTCTATAGGAAATTTTCAGCCTGGCTGAATGGAAATTTTCAATTCAGCCTGGCTGAGTTACAATTTCTATAGGAAATTTTCAATTCAGCCTGGCTGAATGGAAATTTTCAATTTCTGATAAGAAATTCAGCCTGGCTGAATGATAATTTCTATAGGAAATTTTCAATTCAGCCTGGCTGAATGATAATTTCTATAGGAAATTTTCAATTCAGCCTGGCTGAATGATAATTTCTATAGGAAATTTTCAATTCAGCCTGGCTGAATGATAATTTCTATAGGAAATTTTCAATTCAGCCTGGCTGAATTAGAATTTCTATACGAAATTTTTCAATTCAGCCTGGCTGAATTAGAATTTCTATACGAAATTTTTCAATTCAGCCTGGCTGAATTAGAATTTCTATAGGAAATTTTCTATTCCACCTGGCTGAATTAGAATTTCTATAGGAAATTTTCAATTCAGCCTGGCTGAATTAGAATTTCTTTAGGAACATTTTTAATTCAGCATGGCTGAATTGTGATTTCATTAGGAAATTTTCAATTTAGCCAAACTCTTTTTGAAACTAATAACACCTGCCATCATATAATACTACGCTCTTTCATCAACAAAAGGATCACAATGGAAAAAAGCGGGTTAATCAAAATTCATTGAAAGGAATTCATCGAAAGGATGACCAAATATGAATGTGTCCCATAGTTTGTGCGGCATTGTGGAATATGCAATGATGCCTGGATGGTTGGGGTCTATGGCTTTTAGCGGAGCATTTCCTTTTTTTTTTTTGTTATTATGCTTTGTTTTTGATTTTGGTATCATTTTTGAGGTTATGTTTTGGGATTTTAGGTTTTGCTGCTTCTCCTTTGTTTGGTTAATGCGAATGGGGTTTTTGTTCGGCTTTATCCAAATATTTATTTTTATTTTTGAAAATAAAAGGATCTTACCTGGGTTTCTTGCCAATAAGCAGCATTAACATATCCATAAACAAGGCGGGCAGGGTGTGATACAAAAATGACAGCAAGGCGAATTGCCATTTGGAGCTGACAATGGTGAAGCATGGATACCAAATTGATTTACGCAATGGCAACTTACGGCCATATTCAATGGCATATTCCATGAATTCACGCCAGCTGGCAATGTTATCGGGATCTGGGATATAATTGTAGATTGGTGTTGTGTCGTAACTAGAAGATCGAAAAGAACAAAATAAAACAATATTTTGGAGGTTATGTTTGATCGGAACTTACGTATTTCTGGCTATATCCCAGGCACTGGTCAACAAGGCATTAACACACAAATCTACAGGGACCATGTTGGCTTTGTTCTCCACTTTACCGCTGAAAATACGCATAACACCGGAACCAACGCCGACAATAATGCCGCATGGGCCATACATGTTGTCAATCCAGCCGGAGACAGGTTCACGATAGGTGGTGACAACTAAGGGATAAAAATAAAATTGATTAAAAAAATCTAAAAAACCCAGAAAACTCTCTCCCTCACCTATGCCCGGACGAAATATGGTAACTGGCAAATTTTGACCATGATTCAGGATAATATCCTCAGCCAATACCTTGGTAAAGGCATATGTATTGGGGAAGTCCTTAACAATCGTAGGTGTCAGAGCGTTCAATGTCTGCTCATCCAGACATTCACTCAACTGCAGGGCCTTATCACCCGATAGGGTACAATTATAGAATCTCTCTTGGATGTGTTTGCGATTACAGTGAGCGAACGCGGTGGAGACATGAACCACAGCCTTAAGGTGTATAACTTCTTTGGCCAACTTCAAAATTTCCTTGGTACCATTAACATTGATGCCAATGGCCATTTTAAGTTTTTCATCAAAACGTACAGTGGCTGCCCCGTGGATAATTATATTCACCTGTTCCTTGAGCAACTCACGATCTTCATGAGAAATGCCCAAGGCTGGGAGCGATACATCACCACTGATGACGGTGATTTTTTCACGATAATTTGGTGTGATTTTTTTGAGTTTTTCGAAGACCTGGAAGAAGAAACCGTGAAAGGGTTAGAGAAATATAATTTCAGCCAAGCAGAATTAAAAATTTCCTAACGAAATTCTAATTCAGGCAGTGAATTGAAAATTTCCTATAGAAATTCCCATTCAGCCATGGTGAATTGAAAATTTCCTATAGAAAGTCTAATTCAGCCAGGCTGAATTGAAAATTTCCTATAGAAATTGTAATTCAGCCAGGCTGAATTGAAAATTTCCTATGAAAATCCTCATTCAGCCAGGCTGAATTGAAAATTTACTATAGAAATTGTAATTCAGCCAGGCTGAATTGAAAATTTCCTATGGAAATCCTCATTCAGCCAGGCTGAATTGAAAATTTAATATAGAAATTCTAATTCAGCCAGGCTGAATTGAAAATTTCCTATAGAAATTCTAATTCAGCCAGGCTGAATTGAAAATTTCCTATAGAAATTATCATTCAGCCAAGCTGATTTGAAAATTTCCTATAGAAATTGTAATTCAGGCAGGCTGAATTGAAAATTTCCTATAGAAATTGTAATTCAGCCAGGCTGAATTGAAAATTTCCTAATGATTATTCTATTCCGCCAGGCTGAATTGAATATTTCCTATTGGAAATTCTTTTCTTTTTTGAAAATTACCTATTGGAAATTCTGTTCAGCCAGGCTGAATTGAAAATTACCTATTGGAAATTCTATTCAGCCAGGCTGAATTGAAAATTTCTTATTGGAAATCCTATTCAGCCAGGCTGAATTGAAAATTTCCTATAGAAATTCTCATTCAGCCAGGCTGAATTAAAAATTTCCTATAGAAATTCTAATTCAGCCAGGCTGAATTGAAAATTTCCTTTAGAAATTCTAATTCAGCCAGGCTGAATTGAAAATTTCCTTTAGAAATTCTAATTCAGCCAGGCTGAATTGGAAATTCGTCGTTGCGGAATTGAAAATTTTCTCTAGAAATTTTAATTTAGCCCGGCTGAATTACAAATTTCTTATGAAAGTTCTAATTCAGATAAGCAAAATTTATAATGTCCTCTAAAAATTCGAATACAACTGGACTTAATTGAAAATCTAGTAACTTTTCCATTAAATGGATTATGTAATCCATCATTTCGATGAAGCCACTTGAGTCTCCCTTATCGATAAGCTACTCACCGGTTCATTGAATATGTCATCCAAACGTGTCTGAACATCTTTACCCTTTTTGGTACGTATCAGCAGGAATATTTGTCCCACATCGGTAACGCGTAATAATTTTTCAATTATAACTGTAAAATAATAAAAAAAAATATACCACCAATTAAATCATTACCACTTAAAATATCCGCCAAGGGATTGTTCACAGGAAATTCAACCCCAAAAATTGACACCCTTTTCACCCACGAGGCAGCAGGAACAGTGTTCGCGCACACACACACACGAAACATCCTCCTCCAAATCCATTGTGTGTGTGTGGCTCAGGGAGAAAGGGAAAGCTTCGCTGAATTGAATTAAAGGGTATTACTTACTTTTACCAAAGAAGCCAGTACCGCCTGTTAGGAAAACCCCTTTATCCTTGTAGAACATTTGCATGGGGGATTCTGAAACAAAAACGAGAAGAAAAAAAACAACAACAAAAATGGTGAGATGGGAATTCCGCTTTAATATTAAATCGAAGAAATGCCATTAAAATAAGATTTATTTATGGGAAGTCAATATGAAAACGTTTAAATATTCCAAAGAGGATGACTACCCTCCACCCATTACCCACATCCTACCCCCAATAAATTCCTTAGCCATCAGCGACAGCTTTTGTAATTCCCTGGTATTTTTTTTTTCGAGGGGTTAACACCAATGTTTCCTCTTTGTTGTGAAGTAATGTGACAATGCTCCCCAACGCTACCCTTCGTCCTTTGGTTTACCCTTCCAGAAGCATATTTTGGCGTTGTTGTCCTTAGTCTTGAAAATTCTTCTGAAGTCCTTCGGAAGGTACCCAATGAAATATTCGTTATTTACATAAATTATCATACTTTATTTGTCCTTAGCTTTTGTTTTCACTTGACTAAGCCCTTTTTTGGACTTCATGGTTTATGTGCTGGTTGGCTGGCTGGATGATAGGACGGAGCGCTAACATTGACACCAATATCGTCAACATCATCATTAACGCTACCAAGGGTAATGGTGAAGAAGCAAATGGTACACTACATAGGGACGCGAATTTCTTAAAGAACATTTTTCAAGTATTAAACGAGACATGGATCTTTTTAAGAAATATTTTTAAACGGACCATCCAAAGAGTGGATTATTAAAAATATATATTTCATATTTTTTAAAAGAAAAAAAAGTTATTTAAAAAAATCCACGCTCGTAGGTTGTGTTGTGATGTTCGGCTTTCGACTCGAAAAATACAAGTAATTAAGTTTCGGTCCACTTCATCCGAAAAATTATTATCTGATCAACACCTAACATTTTAGGCGTTGTCCTTGACCATAACAGGAACCTCATGGAACATTTCAAAGCAATCAGGCTATATATCCGCCCTAAAGTGTGGTAATAGGTTACTAAATAATATATGAATACGTAAGCACCAGTAAATATTTAAGTGTAACTCCCTAATCCGATAACCTACCACAATATGATTGGTATCAACCACTCCTCTTGGATATACTATCAACTTCTCGGGTCTATGTCCTTCAGGAGTAAATATATACCCCATAGAATAGAAATTTTGTAATTGTTCACACAAAAATCAGGGTTCATTTGACCCGCTAAATATTGACCGATCTTTATAAAAACAGGCAACCCCCTTCTCCATGTGAAAATTCGCGAAGTTCGGCCCATAATTGCCCCCCTTCTCCATGTGAAAATTCGCGAAGTTCGCCCCATAATTGCGGCCTCTGAAGCGACAAGAAAATTGGAAAAAAATAAAGTTTTTGGTCCATTTCATCCCCTAAATATTAACCGATCTTTATCAAAAACACTAGGGGTCTTCATTGGCCAGAACCCATCCTACATGCAAAATTTCGTGAAGATTGGTCCATAACTCTGGCATGTATCGTGTTTACAAATTATAATGGACAGACGGACGGACACACATGTCTAGATCTACTCAGCTAGTCGAGATATGACGATCGTTATACTTAAAGGTGGGTCTAGGACCAATATTTCGCGGCGTTACAAACTTTTGGGGCTGCACAAAGCTATAATACCCTGACAACATAGTTGTGTAGGGTATAAAAATCCACGCCTTATATAGTCCTTAAAAAAATCCATGCCTTATATAATCCTTGAAAAAAATATTTTAAAAATCCACGCCTTATGTAGACCTTAAAAAAATATTTAAAAAATTTACGTCTTATATACGAAAAAAAAATTATTTAAACAATCTATGCCTTATATTGTCATTTAATAACCAGTAATGTTAGCAGTAAAGTCGGACGGGACCGACTATATGATACCCTTCACCACTTTGGGTATATTCAACAGATGAATCCTAACAGACGTTTCATTTTTAAAGGACCAGTAAAATGAAATTGGGTCCATAAACATGTCATTCTGCAACCGATACTATTTTTTTCATTTGGTCAGATATAGAAGGTATATCTGAATCTGAACCGATTTTCTTTGGGATTTGGCGTGCCATTTACTTTAAATCGGACGAAAATATATATGGGAGCTATATATAAATCTGGACTGATTTTCACGAAACTTCAAACGCTTCGTTCTAAACTTAATTCAGTGCGCTATGCCAAATTTCGTGCAAATCGAAAGATATATAGAACTTTGGTGCAGCATTTACATTAAATCGGACGAAAACAAATATGGGAGCTCTATCTAAATCTGAACCGATTTTCACGAAACTTAACACGCATTGTTCTATACCTAATTCATTACGCTGTGCCAAATTTCGTGCAAATCGAAAGATTTGTAACTTGGTGCAGCATTTACCTGAAGGGAATCCCCCCATTATCGATTTTAATTTTTCAAGATTTTCAATGGGCTGGTAAATCAATACCGATACTTGTTAAGGTTTGTAACTTTACACTTATATAATTGAAGATTTAAAGTAGAAGAAAAATAATTTACAAAAAAATTTTGTTGTTGTTTTGTTGTTGTTTTTTTATAATTAAAGAAAAGTCCTTATTTTTGATGGCGGGCATGATAACTCCTCACTGGAACATCGGAATCCGAAAATTCCAACGGTGTTAGAAAGAGTCGTGTCTGGCTCTCGTATGAACTAGGCTTATTGACTTTGCTCTAAAATTAATAAAATGGCGGACCTTTGAAAAAATATTTTTGGAAAATCGCCAATTTTGTACCAAAACCAAAGTTAAAAAAATAAGTAAGATCTTCACCGATTGGCTTTATCCTAGTTCATACGATAGCTATACACTCACAGAGAAACGTGTAAAAATTTGGAATCGATTGGGTTATTAGTTTTTGAGTTATCGTGCCCGCCATTCGCAAAAAAATGTTTAGAGAAAAACGCGTTTAAAGTTTGAGAAGCCCTTCAGCCGTCACTTGATGCTGACACAATAAATCGGCTATATCTTCAAGAGTTCTTGAGATTTTCATTTGAAAATTTGTAGGGACATTCTTTAATTAGTGTAGATTCGAATTATATCAACAGAATTTTTGACCCCGAGAATGGGGGGTTCCCCTTAAATCGGAAATAAATATCGGACGATTTTTAACAATTTCAATAGGGTTCGTCCTTGACCAAATAAATGAGCTGTGCTAAGTTTCATCCAATTCGAATCAAAAATGCGACCTGTACTTTGTTTACAATTTACCATGGACAGACAGACGGACATGCATGAATCGACTTAAAAAGTGATTCTATGCATATTCTCAAAAGGAACCATGTGTCTATCTCGATTCTTTTGCCTGTTGCAAACATATGCACAAAGACGTAATACCCTGTATCACAGTGTGATGAAGGGTATAAAAAGTTATTAAAAAAATCCACGCTTTATATAATCCTTGAAAAAAAAATTATTTTAAAAATCCGCACCTTATATAATCCTTAAAAAAATATATTTAAAAAATCCGCAACTTATAAAGTCCTTCAAAAAAATTGTTTAAAATCCCACACCTTATACAGACGTTGAAAAAAAATTCTTTTATACATTCACCCCTTATAAAGTCTTTGACCAAAATTATTAAAAAAAATCCACATCTTGAAAAAATGTATTTTATTAAATTATTCAAAAATTAAAGTCCGTTATAGTCCTTGAAAAAAAATATTTAAAAAATCCGCGCCTTATAAAAAAATATTTAAAAAATCTGCGCCTTATTGAAATCTGCGTCATTGAAAAAAAATATTTTTAAAATCCACGAATTGTATTAGTCCAATGAAAAAATTATTTATACAATCCACGAATTGTATTAGTCCAATGAAAAAATTATTTATACAATCCACGAATTGTATTAGTCCAATGAAAAAATTATTTATACAATCCACGCCTTATATAGTCCTTGAAAAGAATTATTTAATAAACCCACGCCTTACATAGTCTTTGAAAAAAATTATAAAAAAATATTTAATAAATCCACGCCTTTTATAGTCCTTGAGAAAAATTATTTATAACATCCACGCCTTATATAGTCCTTGAAAGTAATTTTTAGTACCAAACGAGACGTGGATTTATATATTTATATATATATATTTTTAAATACTACTTCGAGAACAAATAAACAATAAGGATTTTCTATAGTGTTCGAACAATTCGTCTAATTCTCTAAATTTTCATATTCCATAAATTATTGGCCACTTATAAAATATTGTAAAAATTCATAAGCGTTTTGAAGTGCAGAGATTTGCGTACAAAACCAAAAACCAACATTAAATCAATACCCTTACAAATTAACATAAGACCAGAAACACCAGACAATGATAAGGACCTGGTCGCATGAATATATGTGTACAAAATACACACAGGATATTTAAGTAACACACTGACTACCAAAGCAAACTCAAAATAGACTTCTCACACACACACACACAGTGCGAAACGATAAGGCAGTCAGACAATCACCAAACACACACATTCACTCACGTACATCCTTCTATCCATTAATTCAACCACCTCCCGCTCCTTTGTATTGAGGAGTTGGAGCTTAAAATGGTCTCATGTTTTTATCATCATTGGCCATATTAAAACATTGATGACTTATTTTGCCAACAAACAACAACAACCATTCATTGTGCTAACATAGTAGCCTGTTTGGTATTTGTGTCTGTGTGTGTAACCGATGTCTATTTGTGTACATGTAAATATGTAAGAATTCCCCCATGCATGTATGTCACAGAGTGGCTTAAACGCACCCTAATGACACAAGCCAAGTGTGTCTGTCTTCCACTTGACTGTAATGGTGTTGTTGTTGTTGTTGGTGTCGCCCTTGCTCTTGTTGCCGTCGTTGTTGTTGTCGATTGGGCTTAAAGTGCCAAATTAATCGGTCGAACAGGCTATGACTTTCTGGCTGAATGACTTATTGCCAGTCGGCTGGGCTGGCTGGCTGGTTGCGTGTTAGGCTGGTAGATTGTTCGACAGGCTGACTGGCTGTACACCTCCATGCCGAACTGCTGTGCGTTCTTCAT